CACACAGATTTAGGGCCACAGTAGAACGTTACTTAGGGACACAGAATGTCATCCACTCAGGACAGACCACAACCCTGCCGATCGATTGTTGGCTCGGTCACTTCCTCTTCCCAGGTCACCTCTGACACCTACAGCCAACGGTCGGTGGGTACGTCAGACACAACCGTTAGTTGGCATGGCCCGGGACCAAGCCCACTGAAATCACGTGTCCTCTACCTGCCCCTGTCCTTTGGTGTTCCCTCACCAAGCGAAGTATCGCATGCTGTGGGCTCAGCCCCACTGTACAGTGAGGAAGAGCTAACAGAGGGCGGTCAGGAACGGGGGGAGACATCCGCCTCTTCAGCAGCCAGGCGAAGAAGTAGTGGCGAGGAGAGTGGCTCGGTAGCCGGTCTAGAGACAGGTCTGTCTCCTGACCCACACGCAGCCGAGGGGGCTAGTAGTGAGGCGGAGACCCTAATTGATGATGATGATGAGGCTGATCGCACTTGGCAGCCTCGTCGTCATCAGGCTATTGCTTCCGCATCATCAGGAGAAGAGGGTGGCAGCTTGGCAGCGAGCAAAACAGTCGGTGGGTTGCCCAGGAGGCAGCAGGGTCGCAGCAGTGTCAGTGGAGGCAAACGGCCACGGAGTAGAGCACCAGCTCCACTGCAGCCTACCACCACGGCCAGTAGTGGTGCCGGTGCACGGCACGGAGGAAGCAGCAGTCAGCCAGTGAGGAGTATCGGGGGCAAAGTTTCCTACTCGGCGGTGTGGCAATTTTTTGTCAAGCCGCCCGAGGAAGTAAACGTAGCCGTATGTCGACTATGTGGCCAGAAAGTCAAGCGTGGCCAGGGGGCCCATGTTGGGACTACAGCGTTGCGGCAGCATATGCAGCGTTCGCCATTTGGTGGCCTGGGAAAACCGTGATAAAGATACGGCGGTTCTGCCCCCCCAGCCCCCGCTCCATCACCCGCTCCGTTACTTGCTCCGTCACCCGACGTCAATCGCCCTCTATCAGCCAGTCAAGGCTCCAACACCTCTGCTGAGGGGAGTTGTCGCTCGTTGCCATCTTCCGCTCGTTCAGATGCTCCTTCTCCTGCTACTCCTCTTCACGGATTCCGTCAGCAGTCTTTCTTGGAATCCGTTTCCAAGAGACAACAGTTTGCGAGCACACGCACCCCGACGGTGCAAAAGCTGAACGTCCTCCTGTCCAAGTTGCTGGTGCTGCAGTCCCTCCCTTTCCAAGTGGTGGACTCAGCACCTTTCCGAGAAATGATGGCTTGTGCCGCGCCGCGGTGGAGAGTGCCAAGCCGTCATTTCTTCGCCAAAAAGGCAGTGCCAGCCCTGCATTCACATGTAGAAGAGATGGTGGGCCAGTCTTTGAGCATGTCGGTCTCTGCCAAAGTGCACGGCAGCGCCGACGTGTGGAGCTGTAACTACGGTCAGGGACAGTACATGTCATTTACGGCCACTGGGTGAACGTGGTGCCGTCACAGCCGCACCAGCAACTTGGACAGGTCACGCCGCTTTTGCCTCCACGTTTGCACGTCCTTGGTCCACAAAAAGATGTCCCTCTACCACTCTACCACCTCTTCTTCCTTCGTGTCCTCACAGCCACCACCCCCCCCGTGCCAAGTCCCATTACCCGACCGGCATATCACATGTGCAGGGCGCAACGGTGTCACGCTGTGCTGCACCTGGTATGCCTTGGCGAACGTAGTCACACAGGGGAGGAACTTCTGAGTGTAATGAACAGAGAAATCGACAGATGGCTGTCTCCGCGCAAACTGAAAATCGGAACCATGTTGACCGACAACGGAAAGAACATGGTGTCTGCTCTGCGTCAAGGAAGGTTGTGCCATGCGCCCATGCATGGCTCACGTGTTCAATCTGGTTGTCAAGCGGTTCCTAAAATCCACCATCCCACTGCAAGACATCCTTAAAATGTCACGTAAACTTTGCATGCATTTCAGCCATTCCTACACCGCAAAGCACACCCTCCTTGAGCTGCAGCGGCAGAACGGAATTCCACAGCATCGCCTGATCTGCGACGTTGCAACAAGGTGGAATTCAACCCTACACATGTTAGACCGCCTTTACGAACAGCGAAAGGCCATCACCGATTTCCTGATGTTACAAGCGGATAAAGGTACTCCCCTGTGTAACTTCGATGTCAGCCATTGGCAGCTCATGCGTGACACCTGCCGCTTGCTCAGGCCCTTTGAGAGAGGCCACGCTATTCGTGAGTCGGCAGGACTATGGGATGAACGACGTCATTCCTCTGTTGCACGTCCTGGAACAAATGCTGTTAACAATGGCTGGTCAGGGTGCGGTAGACGTGGCGCACAGATCTCAACGCCACATGACCCCTGTGGGGGCAGGACAGGAAGAAGAGGAGGAGGTAGAGGAGGACATTTGTGCTCAGGAATTATTGAGTGAAATGGGTGGTTTTTTCCACTCAGCGGACAGGAGTGGAGGAGCAGGAGCATCTGGTAGAGGAGGAGGAGGAGGAGACAGAGGACCCAGACGCACCGTGGCAGTATGCTGTGGAGATGGAGGCAGGGAGTCCCTCGCATTCCTTGGCACAAATGGCCCATAGCATGCTCGGTCGGTTGCTTGCGTAGCGACAGCCGAATAATAACCATCAGACAGAGGGATGACTTTTGGCTGTCCACCTTGTTGGACCCTCGCTACCGTTCAAAAATGGTGGCCTTTTTCACACCTGCTGAGAGGGAGGCCAAAATAACGTACTATAAAAACCACCTATGTAGTCAGTTGGTCTCTGCCTTTGTGCGCCAACGTCCATCCTCAGACACTGTGGGCCCTGTGCGCTCGCGTTCCGCTGCATGGCAGCAGGGGAGGGGTGGGGTGGTAGGAGCAGTGGTAGCTCCACCAGCAGCGGCTGCCCTCAGTCTGCAGTCGATGATGAGTAGCTTTCTTCACCAGCGCAGTGAGGAAACTACTAACCAGCCGCAGCAGCAGCAGCATCAGGTGGACCTGGAGCAGGACCTCAAACAACAGGCTTGGGCCTACTTGGACAGCACCCTGCCAACCGAGGTAGACAATCCCCTTGACTACTGGGCAACGAAACTTGACCTTTGGCCCCAACTAGCTGAATTTGCCCTTGAAAGGCTGTCATGCCCGGCCAGTAGCGTGGCATCGGAGCGCGTGTTTTTAGTGCGGCAGGAGGTATTGTAACTCCGCGGAGGACACGACTGTCCACCCAAAGTGTGGAGAGACTCACGTTTGTGAAAATGAATCAGGCGTGGATTAGTCTGGATTTCAAACCACCAGTTCCTGACACAACTGACTAAATCCGCCATGAATCATGCCCCAAACATGTGCCACTTTCAGGTCTCCTCACACACTGCTGGTGTGTTCCATTTTTTGACATAGGGTGCTGGCAGATTACGGGCCTCCCATAGCTGCTGCCAGGCCCCTAATCTGCCATGGGCCCCTATACCGCCTCCTCATGCTGCTGCCAAGTCCAGAGTCTGTCATGGGTCCCTGTACGGCCTCCCATTGCTGCTGTCTCCATCGCCACACTCTGCCATGTGCCACTTTCAGGTCTCCTCACACACTGCTGGTGTGTTTTTTCAATTTTTTGACATAGGGTGCTGGCAGATTACGGGCCTCCCATAGCTGCTGCCAGGCCCCTAATCTGCCATGGGCCCCTATATACCGCCTCCTCATGCTGCTGCCAGGTCCAGAGTCTCTCATGGGTCCCTGTACGGCCTCCCATTGCTGCTGTCTCCATCGCCACACTCTGCCATGTGCCACTTTCAGGTCTCCTCACACACTGCTGGTGTGTTGAATTTTTTGACATAGGGTGCTGGCAGATTACGGGCCTCCCATAGCTGCTGCCAGGCCCCTAATCTGCCATGGGCCCCTATAAACCCGCCTCCTCATGCTGCTGCCAGGTCCAGAGTCTGTCATGGGTCCCTGTACGGCCTCCCATTGCTTGCTGCTGTCTCCATCGCCACACTCTGCCATGTGCCACTTTCAGGTCTCCTCACACACTGCTGGTGTGTACAATTTTTTTTGACATAGGGTGCTGGCAGATTACGGGCCTCCCATAGCTGCTGCCAGGCCCCTAATCTGCCATGGGCCCCTATACCGCCTCCTCATGCTGCTGCCAGGTCCAGAGTCTCCAGAGTCTCTCATGGGTCCCTGTACGGCCTCCCCATTGCTGCTGTCTCCATCGCCACACACTCTGCCATGTGCCACTTTCAGGTCTCCTCACACACTGCTGGTGTGTTGAATTTTTTTGACATAGGGTGCTGGCAGATTACGGCCTCCCATAGCTGCTGCCAGGCCCCTAATCTGCCATGGGCCCCTATACCGCCTCCTCATGCTGCTGCCAAGGTCCAGAGTCTGTCATGGGTCCCTGTACGGCCTCCCATTGCTGCTGTCTCCATCGCCACACTCTGCCATGTGCCACTTTCAGGTCTCCTCACACACTGCTGGTGTGTTCAATTTTTTGACATAGGGTGCTGGCAGATTACGGGCCTCCCATAGCTGCTGCCAGGCCCCTAATCTGCCATGGGCCCCTATACCGCCTCCTCATGCTGCTGCCAGGTCCAGAGTCTCTCATGGGTCCCTGTACGGCCTCCCATTGCTGCTGTCTCTCCATCGCCACACTCTGCCATGTGCCACTTTCAGGTCTCCTCACACACTGCTGGTGTGTTGAATTTTTTGAATAGGGTGCTGGCAGATTACGGGCCTCCCAGGGTGCTGGCAGATTACGGGCCTCCCATAGCTGCTGCCAGGCCCCTAATCTGCCATGGGCCCCTATATACCGCCTCCTCATGCTGCTGCCAGGTCCAGAGTCTGTCATGGGTCCCTGTACGGCCTCCCATTGCTGCTGTCTCCATCGCCACACTCTGCCATGTGCCACTTTCAGGTCTCCTCACACACTGCTGGTGTGTTCAATTTTTTGACATAGGGTGCTGGCAGATTACGGGCCTCCCATAGCTGCTGCCAGGCCCCTAATCTGCCATGGGCCCCTATATACCGCCTCCTCATGCTGCTGCCAGGTCCAGAGTCTCTCATGGGTCCCTGTACGGCCTCCCATTGCTGCTGTCTCCATCGCCACACTCTGCCATGTGCCACTTTCAGGTCTCCTCACACACTGCTGGTGTGTTGAATTTTTTGACATAGGGTGCTGGCAGATTACGGGCCTCCTAATAGCTGCTGCCAGGCCCCTAATCTGCCATGGGCCCCTATATACCGCCCTCCTCATGCTGCTGCCAAGAAAGTCCAGAGTCTGTCATGGGTCCCTGTACGGCCTCCCATTGCTGCTGTCTCCATCGCCACACTCTGCCATGTGCCACTTTCAGGTCTCCTCACACACTGCTGGTGTGTTCAATTTTTTGACATAGGGTGCTGGCAGATTACGGGCCTCCCATAGCTGCTGCCAGGCCCCTAATCTGCCATGGGCCCCTATACCGCCTCCTCATGCTGCTGCCAGGTCCAGAGTCTCTCATGGGTCCCTGTACGGCCTCCCATTGCTGCTGTCTCCATCGCCACACTCTGCCTGCCATGTGCCACTTTCAGGTCTCCTCACACTGCTGGTGTGTTGAATTTTTTGACATAGGGTGCTGGCAGATTACGGGCCTCCCATAGCTGCTGCCAGGCCCCTAATCTGCATGGGCCCCTATACCGCCTCCTCATGCTGCTGCCAAGTCCAGAGTCTGTCATGGGTCCCTGTACGGCCTCCCATTGCTGCTGTCTCCATCGCCACACTCTGCCATGTGCCACTTTCAGGTCTCCTCACACACTGCTGGTGTGTTCCATTTTTTGTCATAGGGGTGCTGGCAGATTACGGGGCCTCCCATAGCTGCTGCCAGGCCCCTAATCTGCCATGGGCCCCTGTAACCGCCTCCTCATGCTGCTGCCAGGTCCACAGTGTCTCATGCCATGTGCCACTTTAGGTCTCCTCACACTGCTGCTGTCTCCATCGCCATTTTTTGACATAGGGTGCTGGCAGATTACAGGTGTGTCCCATTTTTTGACCAGCAGGTCTGCTGGCAGGGGCCCCTATAGCTGCCATGGGCCCCTATACCGCCTCCTCATGCTGCTGCCATGTGTCCAGAGTCTGTCATGGGTCCCTGTACGTCCTCCCATTGCTGCTGTCTCCAGGCCACACTCTCACACTCTGCCATGTGCCACTTTCAGGTCTCCTCACACTGCTGGTGTGTTGAATTTTTTGACATAGGGTGCTGGCAGATTACGGGCCTCCCATTAGCTGCTGCCAGGCCCCTAATCCCATGGCCCCTATATGCATGCTGCCAGGCCCCTAGTCTGCCATGGGCCTGTACGCCTCCTCATGCTGCTGTCTCTATCGCCACAGTGTCTGCCATGTGCCACTTTCAGGTCTCCTCACACACTGCTGGTGTGTTGAATTTTTTTGACATAGGGTGCTGGCAGATTACGGGCCTCCCATTGCTGCTGCCAGGCCCGTAATCTGCCATGGGCCCCCGTACCGACTCCTCATGCTGTGACGTTGCAACAAGGTGGAATTCAACCCTACATATGTTAGACCGCCTTTACGAACAGCAAAAGGCCATCACAGATTTCCTGATGTTAAAAGCGGATAAAGGTACTCCCTGTGTAACTTAGATGTCAGCCATTGGCAGCTCATGCGTGACACCTGCGCTTGCTCTCAGGCCCTTTGAGGAGGCCACGCTATTCGTGAGTCGGCAGGACTATGGGATGAACGACGTCATTCCTCTGTTGCACGTCCTGGAACAAATGCTGTTAACAATGGCTGGTCAGGGTGCGGTAGACGTGGCGCACAGATCTCAACGCCACATGACCCCTGTGGGGGCAGGACAGGAAGAAGAGGAGGAGGTAGAGGAGGACATTGGTGCTCAGGAATTATTGAGTGAAATGGGTGGTTTTTTCCACTCAGCGGACAGGAGTGGAGGAGCAGGAGCATCTGGTAGAGGAGGAGGAGGAGGAGACAGAGGACCCAGACGCACCGTGGCAGTATGCTGTGGAGATGGAGGCAGGGAGTCCCTCGCATTCCTTGGCACAAATGGCCCATAGCATGCTCGCTTGCTTGCGTACCGACAGCCGAATAATAACCATCAGACAGAGGGATGACTTTTGGCTGTCCACCTTGTTGGACCCTCGCTACCGTTCAAAAATGGTGGCCTTTTTCACACCTGCTGAGAGGGAGGCCAAAATAACGTACTATAAAAACCACCTATGTAGTAGTCAGCTGGTCTCTGCCTGTCTGCGCCAACGTCCATCCTCAGACACTGTGGGCCCTGTGCGCTCGCGTTCCGCTGCCATGGCAGCAGGGGAGGGGTGGGGTGGTAGGAGCAGGCAGCTCCACCAGCAGCAGCTGCAGCCTCAGTCTGCAGTCGATGATGAGTAGCTTTCTTCACCAGCGCAGTGAGGAAACTACTAACCAGCCGCAGGAGCAGCAGCATCAGGTGGACCTGGAGCAGGACCTCAAACAACAGGCTTAGGCCTACTTGGACAGCACCCTGCCAACCGAGGTAGACAATCCCCTTGACTACTGGGCAACGAAAACTTGACCTTTGGCCCCAACTAGCTGAATTTGCCCTTGAAAGGCTGTCATGCCCGGCCAGTAGCGTGGCATCGGAGCGCGTGTTTAGTGCGGCAGGAGGTATTGCAACTCCGCGGAGGACACGACTGTCCACCCAAAGTGTGGAGAGACTCACGTTTGTGAAAATGAATCAGGCGTGGATTAGTCTGGATTTCAAACCACCAGTTCCTGACACAACTGACTAAATCCGCCATGAATCATGCCCCAAACATGTGCCACTTTCAGGTCTCCTCACACTGCTGGTGTGTTCCATTTTTTGTCATAGGGTGCTGGCAGATTACGGGCCTCCCATAGCTGCTGCCAGGCCCCTAATCTGCCATGGGCCCCTATACCGCCTCCTCATGCTGCTGCCAAGTCCAGAGTCTCTCATGGGTCCCTGTACGGCCTCCCATTGCTGCTGTCTCCATCGCCACACTCTGCCATGTGCCACTTTCAGGTCTCCTCACACTGCTGGTGGGTTCCATTTTTTTGTCATAGGGTGCTGGCAGATTACGGGCCTCCCATAGCTGCTGCCCAGGCCCCTAATCTGCCATGGGCCCCTGTACCGCCTCCTCCTCATGCTGCTGCCAGGTCCAGAGTCTCTCATGGGTCCCTGTACGGCCTCCCATTGCTGCTGTCTCCATCGCCACACTCTGCCATGTGCCACTTTCAGGTCTCCTCACACACTGCTGGTGTGTTCCATTTTTGTGATAGGGTGCCGGCAGATTACGGGCCTCCCATTGCTGCTGCCAGGCCCCATAATCTGCCATGGGCCCCCGTACCGACTCCTCATGCTGCTGCTGCCAGGCCCGTAATCTGTCATGGGCCCCTGTTGTCGCTTGTTTGGCATATTCCGCTCGTTCAGATGCTCCTTCTCCTGCTACTCCTCTTCACGGATTCCGTCAGCAGTCTTTCTTGGAATCTGTTTCCAAGAGACAACAGTTTGCGAGCACGCACCCGACGGTGCAGAAGCTGAACGTCCTCCTGTCCAAGTTGCTGCTGCCAGGCTCGTAATCTGTCATGCGCCCCTGTACCGCCTCCTCATGCTGCTGCCAGGTCCAGAGTGTGTCATGGGCCCCCGTACCGACTCCTCATGCTGCTGCCAGGCCCGTAATCTGTCATGGGCCCCTGTACCGCCTCCCCATGCTGCTGCCAGGTCCAGAGTGTGTCATGGGTCCCTGTACGGCCTCCCATTGCTGCTGCCAGGCCCGTAATCTGCCATGGGCCCCCCCGTACCAACTCCTCATGCTGCTGCCAGGCCCGTAATCTGTCATGGGCCCCTGTACCGCCTCCTCATGCTGCTGCCAGGTCCAGAGTGTGTCATGGGTCCCTGTACGGCCTCCCATTGCTGCTGTCTCCATCGCCACACTCTGCCATGTGCCACTTTCAGGTCTCCTCACACTGCTGGTGGTTTCCATTTTTGTCATAGGGTGCTGTATGGCCTCCCATTGCTGCTGCCTCCACCGCCACACTGTGGCTCCACACTCTGGTTTTGGCCCCGTGACTGCCCAAATGAGTGAAATGTGCAGTGATTCTAAGATCGACGGCACTCATCTGCATGTCATACTGACTGTCAGTATTATTTCTCTTCCCCAGCAGACTCCAAGGGCATTTAAATTAAAGGTACAGTGTTCTGCACTAATATAAAGTCTCTCTGAAGCCTAGAAACACCCTTTTATAAGTTAAATTCGCAGCGAATATATTCGACTCGAATCAAAATTTTTCCACGAATTCGCCGAATCAGTCGAATCGAATTTTTGAATACTTCGCTCATCTCTAGAGAAAACATCCAACCGGAAGAGGGCCCTTCCTCGGACTTCCCTACGTTCCAGTTCAACCTGCTCCTCAACGGGCTGAGGCCATGTCCAGTACTTCTTCCATAGTGCCTCATCGTTGAATCCTTTTGATGGGACCGTGAGTTTGGCCTCATGGGCTTTCCCGGTTTTGGTCCTGGTTTAGGGTTAGGTCCTGTTCGGCCATTTCCCACGAGTCTCTCCTTGGGTGGGGGGGTCACTGAATGGACTTGAGCTCTGAGACTTTCCATCACTACAGAATATCAGGGGTCCTGGGCAAGGGTGGTCAGATAAGTGGGGGTGGCTTGGGCCAATAGTTCCCCAGGGAGGGAGGCTGGCTTGAGTGGGCCCTTATTTGGTACCATGCTGACTGTCTTGTTGGGGTACTGGGGCAGAGACCATCTGGGCTGAGTTGGTTGGGTTCTGCTGTGACCTGTAGTCATCCCCCCAGAGGGGGTTGGGTCCCTAAGCTTAGTTGGGTTTCCAGCAGGAGGGCTTCCATGAGTGTGTCCCACTTCCTGTGGACCCTATTCCTATTGACATGGGATTTAGTTATGTTATTGACCTTTCATGATTTATGTTTGTTGCCCTTTGCTCCCTGGGGGCCTACAGTATGTTATTGATGTATTCATCTGCAGCCATGTGTCGGTGTCACAAACTTATGGTAGTGAGCCCTTGTAGACCGCCAACTCGGGGTTCCCCAGGGCGCAGAGTCTAAGCCCAAGCCTGCTTCTTTACCAGAGTCCCTGATGGTGGGGATGGACTTGCAGCAAGCTGGAACCAGGTTACAGCCCCCAAGTACGCCCAGCTGAGGATGCATAGACCAATCACGTGAGCAGAGTGTAATCCAGGAGACAACAGGGAAGCCGATAGACAAGTCGAGGTCAGGACAGGTGGAGATCCACACAGTCAGTGGACGAAGCCGGGGTTGGTGCATGGGTAGTCAGATACAGGATACAAGCATAGTGACAGCCAGGAGCTCAGAGAACTAAGAAGACAAACAACATATGTGAAAGGAATCAGGAACAGCACTGCAGCAAGGAGCTAAGAGTACACAAACAAGAAACTGAAGACTAACTTGTGACAGTCAGGTGTTAGAGCCACCTCAAACTGCTATCCTTTGAGTGTAGGATGCATTTCACCATAGCTGTGATATGCCTATGCCATTGTTGTACATACTGTTTGTGTTCTTTTTTTTTTCCTGCTTTTCTTATCTTTCCCTCTTTCCTGGCCTTTCTATTCTTGTTTTCTGCTGTGTTTTGGAATGCCATGGACTGGCTGTCCTCGGGAGTGGAAAATGTTAGCTGACCTATGTCTGCTGACCGGATTACACCGATCCCACCATGGCTTTGCCCCCTCTTGAAAGTACATTCACAAAATGTACAAGGTTTTAATTCCCCTCAGAAGTGGTCACCTTCAGTCGCAGCACATTGACGTGGTATGCCTGTAGGAAACTAGGTTTTCCCAGTCCTCCGCCCCACGGAGGACTGGGAAAATCTTTTGCCTCATTATCCCACTTTTTACACAGCTTCGGCTCCTGAGAAACGACAGGCTTTCAAACAAAATCTCCCCTTCATCTGTGTACGGAATATAGTGGACCCCACGGGCAGGTATCTACTCTTGCAGGGCACCCTTTGGGATCAGGAGGTCACCTTTGTCTCCTATTATGCCCCTAATTGCTTTCAGCACAAATTTTCTCACATCTTTGTTCTATCATTTCCCATCACTCTAAGGATTTTCTTCTCCTTTTGGGGGATTCAAATGTCACCTTGAATTCTGCTCTAGATAGGCGCTATGCTCGGGGGGCGGCCCCTTCTCACGACTTGGTGCAGGAGGAACGCATGTGCACACTCCTGCAGTCTGCGGGGCTGGTAGACGTTTGGAGGGACTTTACCCTACTGAACGTGACTTTGCGTTCTACTCCAATCCTTATGACAGTTTTTGCAGAATTGACCACGTATTTATGCAAGTGCAACAGCTTCCTGTAGTCAGACAGATATCTATCCCTTCCTCGCTGTAGTCGGACCATGATCCCCTGGTCCTACTTCTTGCATTCTCGGGTGTGGCACAGCGCCCTTTTGATTGGCGTATTAATGAGTCTTTATTGACCAGTCAAGTTATCTGTCAGCAAATTGAATCATTCATACGGACATATTTTGCGGACAACTCAGGATCTGTTTCTTCAGCAGTGCCCCTGTGGTACGGTACGGGGCCACATTATACAGCTGGCTGCGGCTCGGAACCAGGAGTGGCACCTTTTGCAACTTCATTCTCTTCTGACCTCGATGGATGCTCGTTGGAAGTTGCACTCATCCACGGCCCATAAACGTACGCGAGATACCCTGGCTGCAGAACTGGACTTACTTGCTTCTTCGGAGGCTGAACGGGCCCTACGTAGGACCAAACATAAGTTTTTAGCTGTGGCTAGGAAACTGAATTCTGTGGGGAAGCCCTATAAGCTGGTCCAGTTGCAGCTCTCTGAGGGGGGTTGTACTTCCAATCCCCAGCAGATCGTCTCGCGCTTTGCGGGCTTCCTTTTGCATTTGTACACCAAACCAGATTCCTTTCCTGTAGCTCAGGCGGAAGTGTTTCTTTCAGGATTTACGGCTCCCTCGATTATCTAAAGCGGCACAGATAGCCCTTAATGCAGGTGTATCTGTATCGGAACTACTTCAAAATAACAAATCCTTACTGTCCTCCCCAGCCACGGGCCCGGACGGCTTTTCAGGCCTCCACTACAAGAAATTTGCAACCCTGTTGGCGCCATTCTTGGCTAGTTACTTCAATGACTTACGACAGGGCTCTTTGCCCTCCCCAGATGTGCTCAGAGCTCATATCCCAATGATTCCTAAGACAACATGGATGTACAGGAACCACAAGTCTTTCGGCCCATTTCGCTTCTTAATGAAGATTTGAAGATATTGGGCAAGATTCTCAGTCTCCGGATCAATAAATATTTACGTAACCTGGTCCATAGGGACCAAGTGGGTTTCAGCCCTGGGAGGCAGGCAGGCGACAGTTTTTGTAAGGTGGTTCACCTTATACATCTTTTGCAACAGCACAACATTCTGGGATTCTTGCTGTCTTTGGGGGGCTTTGGGGATTCTATCCTTTCTTGGATTCAGGCCTTGTATTCTTCCTCTTCAGCTTCAGTTAAGTATGCAGGGTATTTCTCGGATCCCTTTCCTATTTGGCAAGGGACAAGACAGGGCTGTCCCCTGTCTCCGAGCTCTTTGTCTTGGCGCTTGAGCCATTGGCCTTAGCGCTCCGGGCTGATTGTAACATATCGGGGGGTCCCAAACGCGGGACAGGAATTTAAGTTGAGTCTTTTTGCGGACGATGCCCTCTTGACTCTCACTAATCTATTGACGACACTCCCAAACTTGCAACAGGTGTTTGCGCGTTTCTCCTTGATTTTGGGTCTCCGTATAAATTTAGATAAGACTGTCGCTCTCAAGGTCACCTTGGCCTTGGATTTGGTGTTGAAGTTTTCCTTACAAATAGGCATTCACCTGACCCCCACCTATAGCGCTTTTTCTGCCAACTATTTTCCATTGCTTCGCTACGTGTCCTCTCTTATGCGCTGTTGGCAATTCATGTTCTTGTCTTAGATAAGACGAGTTCATTCGGTGAAAATGACTATCCTGCCGACATTGTTATATTATTTTCGCACCCTCCCAGTGCGGGTTCCCTCTTATTTCCTTCAGCTGATTCAGGCGAGGATTATGCGATTTATCTGGGCTGACCGGTGCCCCAGAGTCTCCAGAAATAAGCTTTTTGTTCATAGGCAGCAAGGAGGTCTGGGGGTGCCTAATGTAGTCAAGTATTATCAGGCGAGCCAGATAACCCCACTGTCTATTTTGCACGCTTCCTCTGATGCTTCTCTCTGGGTTCTTTTGGAACTACCTAATTGTGCCTCTATTGCGACATCAACGCTTCTATGGCCCCCCCCTGCTCTACGCCCGATGACATTGAGTCCAATATTGTTCCATATCCTGCACGTATGGGACTCGGTTCGCCTCTCTAGTGGCTTGATGTCACCCTTTCTACCTTTTCTTCCAATTACTAATAATCCTCTCTTCCTAAAAGGTTTAGATCAACCTGGGGCATCTCTTGGTGGGTGGTCAATGGTTTTTTGCAGGTGCGACACTTCTTGACTTCTCGGTCTTTCCCCACCTGGAATTCTCTTCGGGAATCGCGAGGTGTTCCCCAGGCGGAATTTTTTTTTATTATCTTCAATTGCAGCATTGGCTGACCTCATTGCGTGGCACCTCTGCCTTTCCATATCAGAAATATGCCTTTGAACAGCTTTGCCAACAGCGTCCTGGTGCCCTGGGTCTTGTCTCCATACTTTATGCATTTTTGAATGGGCGCTCAACGCATACTTCCCTATTATATGTCGCTCAATGGGACCACGACTTGGAGCAGTTGTGGATCCGGAGGACTGGACTAAGGCCTGGTCGTTTATAGCTAAATGTTCATTCAGCATAAACACGCTGGAGGCGGAATACAAAGTACTGTTCCGTTGGCATTAGGTCCTGGCTCGTATAGCCCAGGTGAACTCTGCCTATAGTGATTGCTGCTTTCGGGGTTGTGGCCAACGTGGAGATGTGTTACATATATGATGGTCATGCCCGAGATTTATTCGGATTTGGTCTCATGTATTTGGCCTTCTCTACACACAGTTTCATCTCTGCAAAACCTCCAAACAAAGGCCTCAAGGTCCTCGATATTATTAGTAAGTAGACCAGGAGTCCCTAGTTATCAACATAATGAGAAACTGCATAAAAACAAAACTAGTTATGGACTCAAGCAGAATATCGGGTTTGTTTATATGTATTCATATTGAAAAAC